GTGCGGTAAAACTATTAGTAAGCGTAAATAACTGTATCCGATATAAACAGCCGATCAGTAAAACTAGGTACAGGGACTCCAATATTTGTTACCGTTGCCCTGAATATGGATATATTCTCCGGGTTGGAAGGTTACATAACGCTCGGACCCGGGACCGGTTTTGACGAAATTATCTCAGGTGTGGCGTCTGTTTTGGTGGAAGAGATCAAAAGAGACAAATGGAAATAATGAGTACCTCTACGACTTTAGAACCGTCAACAGGTCTCCATTTTCTGTCATCTGAAAGTCTCTACCGAGACTTTTGTTCCTAAATTTGGTTTCTCTTCCGTGATTGTGAATGTAATTTAAAGACAGAGACAAACTGTATAACACTGCCGTGTTATAGAAGCGGTAACGGTGACTTGTATCCGGCGCCAGAACGCGGAGCCGAGACGGGTCGGGACTAAAACCATGAGTACACGCTGGTGGTACTCATGAAAGTAACAGAACACACGGATAGGACGAGTTGGATTTAAACCTCCAAGTGACTGGCATAATATGTGACTTAATTTGAACTGATCCTCTCCTCGGTCCATAAAATAGCGTGATTTATATTTGATGCATTAGTTACCCGTAGCTATCATCAATTTGAGAAGGTCCGCAACAGCGTTTGGAAGCTCAAGTGGACTTTAAGTGATGTAATGCAAAGAATATAAATATCTAAGTACAAATCAATTTCATCTATGCTGATCTGAATTGATTGTCTTGAACTTATTTGACATTAAAATGAAAGTTTTAATTCATCCAGTTATATTATATTAAGATAAGAAAAAATGTTACTAGATTGGATCTTACGTTGGGAAAGATCACGACGGTTCGACCTCATCACAAGGTCTTCTTCGGGTGAACTGATTTTGAGTTGTGAAGAGTGCCACGTGGGATTGAACAACCCACCCTTAACAAGCACTGCGTTTTCTTAAACTTATCGTAATAGCAGGGTCGATCTATCTCAGTGGGGATTCTCGCTTAGGCACAGTCAATGTAATCGGCTTTTAAGCAGTCTGGCACGCCCCATTGCAAGGCAACATGAAAAACTTCATGGACCACAAAAGTTGTCCCGACATTACGTTACAAGAGGACGTGACAGACAGAGGCTTAAAAGCCTCTGAATGCAATTTAGCAAGAATAGCCGAGGAGTTAGGTCGATCCAGCTAGCACGACCGGGTTATGGGAACGGTCCCCAAGAGACCACCATTACCAGGGCATTTCCTTTTCACACGTGTGGCTGAAGTATCATCATAAGATTAATTTTTCATATTCAACTACCAATATTTATTTACGTATTTTGAAACAAATTTTCTGTGAAAAAATTATTTTTATTGTGCACAGACACATTTTTACTACAATAAATGAAAAAATTAATATTCGAAACGCTTCAAGCTGAATCCGACATCAGTATAATTGAATTTAAATATGTATAATTTGCATAATTGTGGTCAAGACATAAGCGCAAATAGTTACGCTTATTATTGACAGATCGCATGCTACTCTTGTAAAAGAAAACAGGCTGTGTAGACTCCAATTATCATCCATTTGAGGGAGATGACACTCAAAATATACAACACATATTGACATAAATACCAAAATAAGAAATTGACCCTGATATGCCATAAATGCTATGTAACTCGTCATACTCGTGAGGTCATAGTTGGTCTAAGCTTGGTAAACCTGGAGATGAGAAAGTTTTCCTGAAAGCAGACATCCAAGATGTGTAATCTAGAGTATTGTAGCCTCCCCGTACACGGGATGACTGCAAAAACAACCCCATTCTGTAATTCATGATATCGATAATTTGACCTAAGCCAAATAACTTATTTTTTACCAATCCCGAGTTAAATTGTCAGGAAAATATTGATCTTATAAACTGTCCATGGCCAAAGTAAAAAAAGTAACATACAGTGTCATCGTGTGCCTTGGAAAAAAACTATGTGCGCCTTAAGTAAGACGCCATTATCAATAAGACTTGTTGTGATCAGCAGACTTGAGGATTTCGGCCGATTCCCTTAGCATGTTTTCCGTTCCTTGAAGCACGGGGTCCACGTCTTCTTGACTGTAGGCAGACGACATATGAACAGAGTCTGTGTTCTCGTAGGCTTGGTCGAGGGGGAGAGTTGTGGCGACGAGAATAGTTGGGTTTCCTCCGACCTCCGAGGCCACGGGGCTTCCCACAACGATCTGCAGACTATTCCCGTCTTGAATAATCTGCACGTTCCGCAACGTCGGATCACTGGACATGACACTCTGCGGCAAGGAAGTGGCAATGTCAGCTGACGTGAGATCAACGTTCTGATTGGCTAGCACGGTCTCCATAGCGGCTCCTGATTGGTCATCCATACCCACCTGACCTGGAGTGGCACCAGCAGACGACGCTTGGTTTGTGAGCCGTGACTGAACAGAATCGAAAGATAACATGTCTGAAGATTCGCCAGCATATGTGGTCTTTTTCTCATAGCTATCAAATCTTCCGTAAGATTTAATTTTCCGTCCTCGTCGTGTCATGGGTCTTTGCCCAGGAAGCTTGGAACGAGCTTCGCGTATGGACTGCTCCGTGACGGTGATCATCTTGCGCCGTTTTGTTGTTTTGGTCGTGTCTTTTGCGGGTTTTCTTGCCTGTTGTTGGCGACTCACCGTTGCTGGCTGTTGGGTGTCTAAGTTGATAGCGTCAACAGAATCCATGGAGTCAATGTCTTCGTTCTCTTCCTGTATGGGACAACGGTGGTTATGGAGTAGCTTGGAACGAGTGAAACCTTTCCCACACTCCTGGCAGTGAAATCTGAATAATAAATAAATAAATAAATAAATAAATTAATTAATTAATTAATTAATTAATTAATAAAACACATAGTACAAATTATCATTTTGTAATATACTTACAAAGGCAACTTAACAAACACATGTACAAATCACATTATTTATCAACAAGAAAACACCAGTGTTTCTGTCTGTGCATAACAACTCTGATGATTACTTTTATGTAGAAATTTTAAAAAACATAACCCTAAAATACATATATGAATACAACACAAATAAATCAGCGAATGGCTTAAAAAAGGTAAGGTACCAATAACACAAGTGGGTGACCCACCCGATTCTCCTTTTATATGATACCAGTGTGACAGGTAGTCTGCTAGGAACCGTAGTCGGTTCCCCATTACTTTGTACAGGTGACAATCGTCCCATATACTGACCTCAATACTCCAACTAACCCTAACCTGTCAGGCCCGTAGCCAGCAATTTCAAAAGGGGGGTTCTTTTTCTGAAAAAGTGGACCTTTTTCCATAAAAACTTCATGTGCCTAGATTAAATTTTACCCAGAGTGGACCTTTTCCCAGCAAAAGGGGCGGTCCTTTCGAACCCCCCGAACCCCCCCCTGGCTACGGGCCTGCCTGTACTAATCATGTGGGAGCCCGGACTTCCATTCCTAGGACTACCACTCCTGTCACACCGGCAGCACTTACTTGTACTCTCCCCTATGTCCTCGTTCGTGCTCTCTCAGGTGTGGTTTCCTGCTGAATTCTTTCCCACACTCTCCACACTTGAAAGGTTTGATACCACTGTGAGTGATGATGTGTGCCTTCAGCTTGTCTGGTCTGTTGAAGGCTTTCATACAACCTAGTATGGGCGATAAAGTATAGTTTTCAGAAAAATGAAAAAGAAATTCATTAATCATTAATTTTTATTATTATTAAAGCTATCAATTTGCTCAACTTATGCTGGCACCTTAGAAGTGCTCATATGTTTATGAATAAATAATGGAAGTTATGGAACCGTAGGCAAGGGGTAAGAAAGAACCACCCAATCAGTTGGTAAAGGTCCTCCCTGAACCCAAATTTCATCTAGATTTTATGCCATGTACCATTTTTGACCCTCTTCCGGCAGAGAAAATTAGATGCCCATCTATGTAAACTTGAAAAATTCTGACCCTCTTCCGGAAGACCCATCCGACTCCCTCTCCCCCTGCTTATAGCCCCCCCCCCCCCCAACTCTCCCTCACAATCCCCTCTATGTCACCACACGCTTGTATTTCTACAACCTACCTATGTGGTTTCTAAACGGACACTTAAATCTCTTTGTATTCTCGTGGATCAGCATGTGTCTCTTCAGCTTGTCCTTCCTGTTAAACGCTGCGTTGCACACCTCACATTCAAAAGGCTTCTCCCCAGTGTGAATGACAGCATGAGACTTTAAATAGTGCTCCGTTTTGAACTTCTTGTGGCACACTTCACATTCAAATTCACCTTAAATTAGCAAAAAGATGGCATTCCAAAATCAAACAAAGGACAATCCAGAATATCAAATCATCAAAAGTACTTAGAATTTCTCCTATTTTCATCATGGGTACACCTTGATAGTCTGAAGGTTCACTGGTCTGAAAAACTGTAACATTTTTAACAGCTCCCAAATGGTTCGAACATTCTAAAGTGAAGATCGGACTATTGTCATGCATCCAATAGTATCACAAATAAACTGAGTTTAAACTTAAGTTCTCACCTCCTGTTCCATGGATGAGAAGATGTCTGCGTAGGTACCTCTCACACGTGAACAGCTTAGCGCAGAACTCACAGGTGTACTTGTGGGTGGAGGTCTGCAGGTGGTGCTGTAGTGCCTCAGGAGACGTGTACTTGTTGGAGCACTTGGGGCATTTGAACTCCCTAGAAAAACAGACAGACACATGTTCAATCTGTCTAAATAAACAGTCTGCATAAATTTCTAAATCTTTCTAGTTCTTCATCCCCCTAATAATGTCACAGAATCTTACAGCCCAACTAACCATCTAAATAAACTATCGGCCAAACAATACATATTCATTAATACATGTGGCCTGAAAAAAATAAAAAAATAAAAAAATAAAATAAGAGGGAGAGGAAGGGCATTGGGTCGTGTGTGTGTGTGTGTGTGTGTGTGTGTGTGTGGGGAGGGGGGGTACTCACCTGTTCCCTGTCTTGGGTCCCTGGTTAGGATACAGACTATGTGAATACTGATGAACACCAAGTTCATATAGAGATGGAAACTGCTTGTTACACATATGGCATCTGTAGGTCATGTCTTCCTCGTGTGTTTTTGTGTGTTCTAAAAAGGCGTCTAGTTCTCTGAAAGTCTCTCCACATGTCTTCAGTACACATTTATACACCTAAAAACAGAGGGGGATCGTCCTGAAGTGTGACTTTTAAGCTCACTTCTTTTATTTTGATTAAAATGGTCCAATGAAAATGTTTAACTTGTAGACCCAGTTGTTGAATTGAGGTCTATTTCATTTCCAGTTAATCTACTGTTCAAATTCCTGTTTCAAACTTCCTGTCAATGAATAGGTGTAATAGTAGTAAAACATTGATTTCAAACATTTATATCCTAATTCATATACCACATGTCAGGTTAATAAATAAATACTATAAACCACAACAAGACCAAAGAAGCTCCACCTACCTGTTCAGTTCTGTGTATTGTCATGTGGGACTTGAGTTGAAAGTAAGACTTGAACTTCTGAGGGCAGTATTGGCACAGGTAGGAGTTGTCTATGATGATCTCCACCTTGGGTTGAAGGCCACTTTTGGAGTTATCCCCGCCTGCACCCAGTGCTGGGGACTGGAACAGTGACATAAGGTGAACAAATCAGTTAGGTTTTAAATTATCTAATTTTTAAAAATGTGATATGAATGGCTGAAATAATTTAGGATGGCTTTAATTGAAATACTGAAAATTGTCTGATTTTTGTAGTCTTATTTACTACTGTTTTAACTAAAATTCCAAATAACCTGTTAAAACTTTAGCTAACTAGACTAAAACCATGAAATGTACTGGAGTTGGCCAAGACAAACAATGTTGTAATTTAAGATTTACTGATATATCATGCAACAACCTAAGAAAGGGAAGTATAAAACTAAAAGAAAAAACAAAAAAACAGATGCTTTGACACAAAAACAAATAAAAAATATTAATACGTGGAAACACATCATTTTTCACGTGTGTAAATTGGGAAAAAAATTACCTTTAGAAAAAGGAAAAAAAATTATTTTCCATCACATCAATGTAATAAGGTATTTGATTTTAAAAATAGATTTCAAAACAAAACACTAACACCCTCAGTTTGCCCTTAATAAGTATATAACTTTGTGTCACCTAAGGGTTATGTCTAATGTTTTGTCCATTTTTGATGAATTCCTAATTTTCAAATTCTTTTCCTTTCCCAAAGACAAAGAAGAATTTCTGCAGCACTGGACATGTTAGCATGAGGCAAAAAGATAAAGTACCCACCTATATTAGACTTAACAAATAGACTTGTCTTACTCTCTTCTGTTAAAAACTTAAGCATGCCATGTGCAGTTTTGTTAAAAATAAAAACAGGTGCTTATAAACATGCACTCACACACATATAAAAACACAAGGAAATACATACCAGAAACATTACTGTCAGGTTCAAGTAGGCAGTGGGTAGTAGTAACTAAAGCAACACAATTTCACAACACTTACACGAGTGCATTAACGCGTGCACACACATACACACACACGCGTGCATGCAACGTGCCCTTTCAGCATGCTCTCGCAGTCACTTACCAAATATGTATTATCTGTGGTGGCCTCCGTAATGCCTGCGTTGATACTCACCACATAGGGCTGTTGGTTGTCATCATGTTCGGTGCTGCCTGAGTTGACGACTGTCTGAGATTCTCCATCCTCCGTGACTATCACAAGGTTTTGTGGTGGCGGCTGCTTGGGTAGTGTGCCGCTAGAGCCACTGGGCCAGACCTGGAAGTGTTGGAAAAAAGAACAGTTAACACAACATGGTCGTGATCAATTTGGGCTCCCATTTATATGGAGTTATATGTTTAACTGATATACACCACTATGCCTAAAAATTGTAAATTTTGCATTCTACAATTTGATTATAAGCTTATATTAATACAACTTTTTACAGAATACATCAGACCAATTAGACGAGAGTGAAAAATTCTTTGAACTCCCTCCCCTACCTTATGGGTCTGCATGTGCTTTTTGACGTTAGACTTTTGTGCAAATGCGCGTCCGCACACGATACACTGAAAAGGTTTCTCTCCTGTGTGTGAGCGCACGTGCTGCTGCAGATCAAAGTTCTTGGAGAACATTTTGTCACAGTATTGGCACTTGAGCTTCTTACGAGGAGAGTTATCTTCTAAACCTGATGTTCAGATACAGATATTGATTAACATACATACACACTTGCATGTGCGCACACACAGATAATTTTTTCCAGAAGAATTTGACATGCTAAAATAATAACTTAAAAATAAAAATCCCAATTTATAAACAATTAAATTCATCACATCATGCAACTAATGAAATCATACACCAACCTTGAGTCATTTAAACACACAATATCACCCACTCTACCTTTAACATTACCATATATCTACATATATAAACAACAAGTTCTCATCTCCATCTTGCCCTTACCCCCTCCTCCTCCCTTGGTTCTCCTCTTCAGTGTTGGCAGTATCTGTGGATGAGCCTGGATCTCATCCTGGTCCGTAACCACGGTGATCATGTCCATCCCATTGGTAGAACTGGTCTTCACTCCTGACAGCTGGGATATTACTGCAATTTTGATTGTTAGCAATATTAGCTGATGTCACTAGTTACGGTAATGGTTCAATCACATCAACCGGGGGAAAAAATAATCAATTTTTAAGATATATAATTCTTGAATCAATAAAAATACATTTCTACGTAGCAAATTGGTGCTTTTACTGTATAGGATAGCATTATTAGATAGTTTTTTTTTTTTAATTGTGTTGCTACCACTCGATAGGAATGTTCCAATTTAAAGAATTTATTACTAAAAAAGCAGTATCTATAAAATTCACAATTTTTCCCGGTTGAAATGATCAAGCCTTTACCATTGTCCAGTTTTAGGTTTAAGTTAATATAGGCCTCTGGCTGATGGCATACAATTAGTGCATTTCATATTTTAATTTTAACCTGAATTTTCTTGTATTTGTTTAAGCTCTGAACTCTTTGTTTTAACAACTTCATCCAATGAACAGTGTTATCCAGAGGATAGTGCTATCCAGTGTTGATGAAACCAGGCTCAGATGTATATAGCAAGGTCCTTACCCCTGGAAGTTGTCTTAGTGATGAGATTACTGGATCTGCCATCATTCTGGTTGATGATACCCTGTTGCTGCTGTTGTTGTTGTTGCTGCTGCTGTTGTTGTTGCTGTGTTGGAGAGTGCTGTTGTTGAGACAGTGACTGACCTGGGACTTGCTGAATCTGTATAAAACAACAGAGAACTTGATTCATATAATCAATTATATAGAACTTGATTCATATAATCAAATATATAGAACTTGATTCATATAATCAAATATATAGAACTTGATTCATATAATCAATTATATAGAACTTGATTCATATAATCAATTATATATATAAAAGGGCAGATTCAGTCCTCTCTTGAAAGTCATGCTGAAATGTAATTTTATAATATAAATTAGGTTTTTATTAAAATAAATTTTGGAAGAATATCCAACTGAAACTTCTTCGATATGTAGGGGAAAAAGTGGGCATAGACATTGCAGCTGAAAGGAGAAGAAAGTCTCAGTTGTTTTTGAAAAATTCAACAGAAACAAACTTTGATGACAGCCTACCCGTGCACTTAAATTTTCAGCAAGCTTTTATATCAAAGGGCATTTTCTATCACTTCATGTGTACCTTTTAAAGATAACTTTTGCACTTACATTCCATTGTAACAAATTGAGTCATGTTAATTTGCTTATTTACACACAAGAGAATAACAATATAGCCACTCAAAGAAAATACAACATATGGAGACTGCAAAAATAATGTAAATAAAAAAAAAAAAAAAAAAAAACGGAAATTTTATCCCTCACCTGAATGGTCTGGATCTGATTCGAGGGTATTGTGCTGGTAAAGGCAGAGTTATTACTGGAGAAGACACCCGCTGTGCTGACCGTCCCAAACACCGGGGTGACGGTCAGACTTCTGGAGGAGGTCAGCTGGGGGGTCACCTGGCTGCCAAAACCACCACCCTGGATACTGGTGCCCTGCAGGAGAGAGTCCTCCATGTAAGCTTAAAGTGTTAACTTTTACACTGATTATACCCATGATAAACAAAATTGTATTAAACATTGTGATATGCTCCCAAAATCTGATGTCCCATATTTGGGAAATAAGAAGTTTGTCTTTGTGTGTCTCAAAATGTTTATTTGTCAAATTTGTCAATTAAAAAAAAAAAAAAAAAGAAAAAAACTTTAGGGACTTACCACTTGCAGGGAAGCCTGATCTATGTTGAATGTCATCAGTTCATCAGTGAGTACCATACCCTGACTGAGCTGGGCAAGAGGGGAGGGAGGAACTGTGCTGTACTGGTTCTGAAAGGAGAAAAACTGAACTGTCACATGGCATAGAACACCTACCTCCAATTCCAACACGTTATTTTCCAGATGTAAATTTGGCTTGTAAAAATCAAAGTAGGAATAACAGCTTGGTGGCCTTATGAATGGGGACTTGGGTCCTACTTAAAAGAGAAAACTGCCACACACACACACAAAATAAATAAATAAATAAATGAATAAATAAATTAATTAATTTAAAAAAACAGATTTCCAACTAAATCATAGCACATTTTCACAGAAACAGCTACGCAAAGACATGAACTTTTGAAAGCTGAAAACAGGATGAGCAAAAAAAAAAAAAAAAACCTCACTTGTCTATTCAGAGTGTGCTGCACATTAGCAGTAAAAGCACTGTTATGGCTGGTCCCAGGGAGCTGTGTGGGCCGATGGCTGACCTGCTGCGGAGAGCAGCGCACCTGTTTGTGACTGACAAATGCTGAGAGGGAGTTGAACTGCTTCTTGCATTTCCCACACTGGAACATGTCGTCTTCTTCAACTGCAAAAAGATAAAAAATTGGTCATTTCCTTCATGGACGTAAAATGCAATATTTGTTACTGATTTATTGAAACATTTCTAATATGGCTATTAAAATCAAATGCAAGTAAAGTATCCCAGAGGAGCTTCAGTTAATAGGGGGTAGTCAAAACACTAATTAGAAAACACATCCTGTTGCAATATATAAACAATATAGTATAAGAATGAGTGTAAAATTAAGGTAAAGCAGACATTTTTGAGAAACAAGCACTGTATACACACACAAGGCCTAAAGCTGTCATGTTTCCAAAAAATTCATATGCCGTCCAGCATTCTTTGAAAATATAGGTTGTCCAGTGATGCTGGCGGCCATCCACATGACGGCGGGACAGTTTGCTGGGAAAACTCTTGATAGAAACACAACCAATGCTTGTAAGGCAACTAAAGTGCCTCCTTTCTCCCCCCATGACTCTACACTTACCAGGCACCTGCTGTTGTTGTTGTTGTGATGTTGCCTCGGCGACTCCTTGGGACTCCAGCAATGACTGGACAGCCAGAGCAGTCTGACTGTCCATGGTCACCCCATCTGGAAACAACAGAGAAATTGACATTTAGATTTGTTTCTTTTTTTAAAGGTTTATCTTATAAATAAGTAAATAGGCGAAGACCACCCTGACTTACTTGAAACTGCAAGGGTATGGTGTAGTGTAGAGGTAAGTGTCAAGTTATCCCTGAAGCTCAGGGTGGGTGAGGACTAGATTGCCATAGTTTTTAAAATTTCTGTACTTCTTTCAAGATATAATTTGATATCATTTTAGTGCATCTATTGTAAGGCATATTGTGATCTCTATGGAATGTGCCAAGGGAGAAACTATTAACATTATGCATCTCTTATGCTTTAGTTTTAACTAATGGAATCTATCAATATTAGGAGGTATATATATTACTGACTTATGAGATGAAGAAATGCAATAATCATATTATCTTGGAGTCCTTAAAAACTCTGTTATACTTTCTAACCCTGATTCTAGCCCGTTCCGAAGTATGAAATGGCACATAACAATGATATTAAGTCCACCTTCTCCCACTTGGGAAAATGGACAGTCATATTCTTTGTGTTATCATAAACCTATAAGTTATAATTAATCAAAAATAAAAATCAAAAGAATAATAATAATATGTTTTGGGGGGTTAATATGTTGGGGTGGGTTTTACAGTATATGGGAGTTGAAGTTTTAATATTTATAAAAGATGTATGTTACTTTTATGCAATGACATAGATTATTGAAAAAAAAAAATGAAAACTTAGACTTAAAAGCCAATTAACATGTATTAATTCTGCCTCTAGGTGAAAAAATAAATTCTGTCCTTTGAGAAATTAATGAAACTGCAAAGGGGGTTTGATGTTTGGACAACAGGTTCACTTTACTTTCGAATTAATTTGTAAAATTGAGACTGTTAAGTTGAGATTGTAAAGACAATCATAAACAAGACAATGAAAACTAGTAAGTTCATTCAGCTTCTACCCCTTCTGCTATGCATATGATGGGGAAAAAAAGGGGGGATATGACTTCCCCCTCAAAATTAAATTAAAAAATTGATTTAAAAAAAAAATGAAAACTAATCCATCTGCAATATTTGTCTCAAAGGCCTACAAGGTGTGTATTGTAGTATTGGACCACAAAAATGATAATGCAGAAAGTTATGAGAAAGCAACAGCCAACACTGAAGCTTGACTAAAATTGAAGAGGGGGAAAATGACAGCAAAATCCACAACATTCAGGAGTAAATTTAAACTGATGCCATGTGAACATCTTCCCAGCACAGACATAGACAGCCGTGTGAAAATGGTATGTAATCAAAGTCAGAAAACTTTTATCGTATTTTCTTCGCCGGTGTGAGAACAAACCGACCGTCACGTCTTGTTTATCGCTGTGCCGTTCTCTCACTCCCACCCCGGCTGTTCCGACGAATTGACTGTCCTTATCTACTGATCTGCCCCCGTAAATTGTTTTTCTGTACTATCAATCAAACGTGGACATGAGTAAAATCGAACGCCATTGCGCTGAATTGTCATTATCTCGTGGATTATACCCGCAAAAATGACCTTCTCAAATAAATTTTACGATTTCCTTCATATCTTGCCGCTTTGTGGATTGTTTTAAGCAAAGCTAGTTTAAAGGTTTCTTCTGGGCCACGTGAAATACACAAAATGATATAACAGTCCAATCTCTTTAATATTTGTGGATTTCACATCTTGGTGATCAATCCATCTTATTTTAAATAAAATTATACTCACTCGCCAGGGCCTCGAATAATGCTTGCGCCATTTTGTCTTGTTCGCAACTGCCAAAATACCCGGATGTCGTTGCCAGAGTGCTACAGGTGCGACATGACAGCGCAACTAATGATTTAGCTACAGCACCGGTGCAACAGGAATGAAAGGCCTAAGAATGGAAGTCCGGACTCCCGTATGATTACATGTAGTACGGTTAGCTTTAAATAGACTATTGGGTTTAGTATATGGGACGAATGTCACCTGTACAAAGTAAAAAAAAAAAAAAAAAGCGGACTGAGACAACCCGAAATCTCAATACTACTGATAGTTGGTTATTTATTTTTGGTATTTGATATCTAAAAGAGGAGAGAAAGGCGTTGAATAAGTCTATCAGCAATGTATTCCTAAGCCTTTAATACTACTAAATTATCAGAATTTTCCCCAGTATCAAGAGTAGAAAAACAGTTAATTATCCAAACGACTTGTTAAAAAAAAAAAAGAAAAGAAAAAAAGAACTTGCCTTTATTGTACACTATTTTATCAAGAGTAGAAAAACAGTTAATTATCCAAACGACTTGTTTAAAAAAGATAATAAAAAAAATTAAAAAAAAAAAAAAGAACTTGCCTTTATTGTACACTATTTTATCCAAAATTGTGACAAATCAATAAGTTATTTCGGCAATTTGATGTGCTTTCATGATCTACCACGTTTAGTTTATTCAACAGCAAATTATATCCCCATTATGGAAGGATACATACACAGTATTTATAAGACAAGTGCATCTCGTCCCCTGCATGTCGTGCGTGAAAGTGGGAAAGGTTACGATGAATGACTGCCAAGCAGTCGATCTGCGTTCGATGACAATTCTTTTTATAAGGGCATCTCACTTACCCCTACCGCCAACCTAAGGAGATATAAAATAATGCGCTTCTTACATTTTTAATGAATGATTAGTGACGCAATGGCATGAAGTCGACTGAATATCAAAATGTGGATCCAGAAAATCCGTTCTTCTGAAGCGTAGGGAAAGAAAACAGGTCAACAGCGTGTTGCGATGGAGTATATTGTTTCAAGCAGTCGGTTCCCGGTCCTCCCAGGCTTGTCTTTTTATAGACTTTCTCACTCAGAAACCCCCCCCCTACCCCCCCCCCTTCCCCCTTGAAGGAAAGGTTGATGCATTTGCGTTTGAACGTTTCAATTTTATGCATCGGGCGATCGGGCGGTTCACCAAATGTCACTAAAATTGGGACATTTAGCTCAGCACCCGTGCATGTGCCATATTTTATGGGCACATTTAGACATTAACGCCAGGATATGTAGTTACTCATAGCTAGAATCCAAAATATCTATCTTGGACCCTAGCTCACAACAAAACAGATTTGTGGCTGAATCGCGACTATTGACTGTGAACGGAAATTTGCGTTATAACATGGTCATTCCGTTAAGTTTGTATACAGTATATGAATCATTATTATTATTTTTTTTACAAAATTCTAGTCGATGACTTTTTGAAGATCGTTAAACAATATAATCCGTCCGAATATTAACGCAAGTATTTTAACGCTCTATCTGTGTTTTGTAAAGCACCTACTCACTACGCTTTTTAGAGCACAATACAGTTCTGGAGAGAAAAAAGATTTTATTACAAAAACAATTTCTGTATCTAAAAGTTTTTAAATAGGCCATGAAAAATTTAAACAAGGCAGCAAAGCTGTCAAATGTACAGACAAAAAGCAGGAAATAACAAAATAGGCTACTGTCAATTCTGATGCAAAAGTACATAATGTTNATCAGTTCTGTAAATATAAAGCCAAAAAGTAAAACTGACCTCCACTTATCGTGTTTACAAGGAAAGTGCACGGCGCCGGCATCGCCATCGGCATCGGCATCGCCATCGCCATCGGCGACGGCGACGACAGACGCAGGTGATGGCAATATGTACAGACACATCTGTGTCTGTACATAAAAATGCTTGTCATACAGGTAGAACTTGGAATATCAAGTGCATTCGTGGTAATAAAACGTAAAATACACTGTTAAAAACAAAGTCGCACAAAGTTGTGGAAATGCATTGATACTGTCACTGGTGAAAGAAATCTGACATTGACGACCAATAAAATAAAACTGGTGCTTGGACATTGGATTTATCCAATGAAAGTCCTCCGAATCTTCTGTGCGGACTACAGATACGCCACATCCGCAGCGATCACAACGGAATTCTGAAAAGAAATGAACGGACATGGACACCAGTCAGGAAAATATATTTTTGATTTTCCATTTAATGATTGCATTAATTTTGCAAATTAAAGGCTTTATATAATAATAATAATCATCTCATACCTGCATTAGTTCTACGCTCGGGTTCACAAGTTTAACGTTGTCTAATTTTGTAATTGGTAGTCCCTGTTTTCCAACCTCTGCAAAAAAAAAAAAAAAAAAAAAAAAAAAAAAAAAAAAAAAAAAAAAAAAAATTACACATTGTGCTTTTCAACAACAGGATACAAAGCAATGCAATGAAGTGTGACATCTAGGTAACTTAACAAGATAAACAAAATATGAACTAATATTGTAAGTATACAAATGCACCACTTGTTCTTCTCAAAATTTCAATTTAATTAGATATTATTCCCATTAAAACATACATTACTTTGAGAAACACCAAAGAGAAAAGCAAATAATATATATATATATATATATATATATATATATATATATATATATATATATATATATTACAAAGACGAGTTTCTGGAACATGCAGGCCCTACATACTGTTAAGCTTTGGTATGATGAACGAGTTGAGAATGATGTTTGCAACAAAGTCTAATCCTCTGGTCTGAAAATAAAAAGCCAGAAACAAATATTAAGACCCGAATCAACATCTCTGGAACAGTATTACCAAATTGCTGGACAGTCAATTACCGGGGATCGTCGGAACATGGAACAGTTGTCGGATTATAGGGTACTGACCACCGGGAAATCGACCCGCTCGTTTACGATCAAGTTCACTGATGAGTTTCATCGGTACTTAATTTTTTCTATCTTAATTCAAATACTTCTCTCAGTTAAAAGATTCTGGCTCACATTAAACATTTATTTCAAACTATTTTAGTAGTCACCGTTGAGTACTTTAAAATCAACAGCCACCCACCAGCATCCCCCCTGCCTACTTAAAATACATGTATAGGCTACTAGAGGGAGTACACGTTGACATACCGTAATCGGGCCGATAGTACTGTCTTTAACATCGAACTGTATCCTGAAAACAAGAAAATATTAATGTGTAATTGGATTGTCTTTGCAAAAATTAAAAAAAAAATAATAAAAATACACAGTTACGTATGACAAAGCGTTCGGGCTTCATGTGCGTCTGAAACTGTGAGATTTTATTGAACTCCGGTGCTAATAATGTAGATGTTTCAAGCATCTAGATCAATTCGAACACATAATTTAGTCTGAACTTTCCTGTGATGCTGAAAAGTTAATTAAAGTTAAAATCCACTATACATACGGTTTAAACTAAGGCTGAAAACGAATCAAAACTATAAAATTGTTTCGACTTTAACACGGCCACAATTCGAAAGTAAATGTTTCATATCATATGGAACTAATTTTTGTCAGGCACTCACCGTGAAGGCCCCACATTGGCCGCAAGATTGTCTCCGCGCACAGATATATTCAGAGATACATTCAGCGTCTAAAGTAAATAAGAAACGTGACAGTCATCATACAAACATTCAGGCCTCATAAACATTCGATTCATAACTCAGTACAGTCATAATTTCAGATAAACTGACATCCGTTTATGTTTGCGTGTTTAATAAATTAATTAATTTGATCCGCCCAGCATTCAAAACATCCTGTAAATTGTGGCATTCTTATGACAAAGCAACTATGATAGCGTGAGTAACTAGGTACTTCAAACACCTGTCATAAACCTTACATTAGGTATGCATTCTGGACTGTGATTTCGTGCAATTGTTTAACTGTCTTGGAATGACTTTGACGTGGATTACAATAAAACGTTAGTGTTTAAGGTTCACTTCACTTACAACAGGGCAGAAAATGTGACATCAATTACAGCAAATTTGAATAATATAAACCTAAAATACAATAAAATTAACATAATAAATAAATAAACAGATACATAGATAAGTAAATTAACAAATAAATAATCGAATTACCGACGAAGCTGTGAACACGTAAATGTTTTTCGGCTGCTCCGGGTGCTTCACATAAAACCGCATATCTCCTCGAAAGTGTCCCGAGATTTTCCCAGCCGTCACAGAGAGGGTTGGCGGCTCCGTGGTCTGCAGGTCCATAGATACAGTGCAGTTGGGAAACTTTTCGCCGACCTGTGGTGTACATCATATAACAAAGAAATAACATTCTATAATGACAAAAGAGTAACTTCCCAGCAAACATATAACGTTATTATAACGTTACCATAACGTTTATATAACCAAGAAACATTATGGTCACGTTACGGTAAAGTTATACAACATTCTGAGTTTGCTGGGTTCCCCCACAGTTAGTTTAATTTTACAGACAGGCATAATAATATTTCACAGCCGTTTCTTTCTGCAGTGAGAAACTGTGACGATCTTCACACGGAGGACAACATTTCTCATTCTGCCAAGTAAAATTAATATTTTCCGCTACAAAGACTAATTTTTAACAGTGAGTCTATAACAGAACCAGGATAAAAAAAAATGGAAGGCACGAAAAAATTGTAACCCTAGGTCCCTTTCTCAAAAATTGAAATGAAACATATGACCCATGTTTCTATGGTTCTAAGAGGGACTCATTTCTCCATCCTTTTGTAAAAATGAAGGGACTATTAAATAAAAAAATAAATCAAATTTGAAAGTGCCCCACGCAAGCCCCCTGGATCCAACTTTGCTATCTGAGTCCTTACCTGGGGCACTATTCTTCCCATGCAAGTTTTCTCTCCCTCACAACTGGTTTTGAAGTAGTGGCGCTGATCTTCAGGAACCTGAAGAGAAGGCAATGTGTACAGCAACTGCAAAACTTAAAAAATGTGCAAGTTGAGTACATATTGTGATTTTCATTTCTAGATTGGTCAATTTTAAATCTGCTCTATTTCCAACACCGTGCATCGCCCACCCACCCACCCACCCGATGGATACAACGACCGGTATGGTCACACACACACACACACACACACACACACACACACAGAGGCATGTGCATGCGCGCGCACACACACACACACACACACAAACAACTTACGTCTATACTAGTCAGGTAATATCTCAGCAGGCCATGTTTGTGTAATACGTATCCAGCCGTGTTCATGACGTACTCCGACATCTGGACGTACAGCATCCGGGTACTGCCCGTCATCTCCGGCATGTCCGGCGCCTCCACGGGCGGGTCTGTCTTATCAGTGGTCCCTTTCAATAATCCCTTTAACAAAAATGTAATGTTTTCTATAAAAACGCTACACCAATTACAATAACAATAATGAAACCTGTTCTTTTAGGTTGTATCTATCACTGAACTGGACTTTATTTATCAATTTATATATTTTTCTTTATTTTATAAATGTTGAAGTATGACGTGTTATATACTTGTTCAGCAACTTCCTACGATATGATGGTGCATAAATGTACGTCCATAGAATACATGTGCGTGTAAACGAAAATAGACTCAGTATTTTGAAAGCCCTGTATTTAACAAAACATAAAGGTGCAAAAGTGTGCCAATTTTGTCTTAACATTTTTGTCTATGGCAGACCCTTATCTTCAAGTTTCACTCTATAATTCAATCCGTGCTAAACCACAACTGTATGTACTTAAAACTTCAATGTTTGTAGATTACATGGCAGGGGTTGCGTTTCGAGAAGACAGACTGCAAGACAAAAGAGATTGCACATGACGTCACATAAATGAAATGACGCCACGTCTCACCTTGTGAAAGGACTCCACATAACCAGTATGAAATTGCGGCGGCTGAATCAAGCGATAGTCTAGTTCAAGGTCTTTACCGACTTTGGTGGTCACTTTAATAAATAAATAAATAAATAAATAAATAAATAAATAAAATGAATAAATAAACGATATTATTTATACTTATATCTTATACATAACTTTAATACAAGGTGACACATTTATATAAAAAGATTTGCTTACAATTAAGTGATTTTATCACAAGGCAACAGAAATAAGCCCCGTTTTAAACGCAAAGAGGTGGTCTAAAAGGCTCTTTCAAGCTTTTTTCTGGAGAACGTCTTTAATGTACTTTTAATTTAGTAAAATGGCATCAAAAATAAGTATGCATGACGTTCTTGTTCGACTTCACGAATTAGACTATGCATACAACTTCATGTATTTATCATTTGGTTGACGCCCCTTTATCAAACCTATTTGTTTATATTAGATTGAAGATAAAACATGCAAAATATTGCACACATAAAAAAATCCAATGCACTGCTCATAGCAAAAAAGATGTTTACATATTTCTCATCAATATTTTAGATCTAGGTTTGTGTAAACAAACCGTAATGATGGTAGACTTACCTTTTAAGTTTGCTAAATGTTTCTCTGCGTTGTCGTTGATTTCCTTTCTCGCGGCGGGACAGAGCTGAAAGGAAAAACGCAGAGCTACATTTATAAACGCCATTAATTTTTTTTTTAATGGCAAGGCAGATATGGGGAGATTTACCTTTAGTCAAAGAACAGGTGCAGAAAAAGCAATATATGTACAACTTATTCTAGTTCTTGCATTTTAAGCAGAACATAAACGAGTATTAATATATTATTCCATTTTAAGGGAAAAAAGTTAGTAAAAGTAACAAAGGAAAGCATGTTTTGGATAAATCCATTTCGATTTAAGAGTATTGTCCGCTTATTCTCGCTGAAACATCAAAGAAGACTGTCGTGTGTAGTAAACTACGTACCAAGCTGCTAACTTTTTCCTTAATGGGACGTTCAATGGAGCCACGGAACAGATTGTACAGCCAACTGGCGCCTCCGTGGAGTGTGACACGGACGCTTCCAAGACCGGCATTGCACTGCCTCACGGCAATGCTTGGCCTGCCGTTGAAATCTTTACCTGTGGTGGATTAAAAGGTATGTATAATGTTTCAAAGTGTACGCTGTTAATCATATTTATCTTAAATTTGTCCATGGAATTTAATCACACGAAATTAACCTGGGTATATCAGTATATACATGTGCATGTACCTTCACGCCTATGTTAGAAGACCTAGATAGAGAGCAAACAGAGAGACAGACAAACAGACAGACAGACACAGATAACAGAGAAGAGGCAGAGACAGGTTTATAGACATACCAAGACCAACAGCCAGCTGGAAGTCAATACCATCAACTGAAATGTCGAACGAACCATGGTCGCTGATTTTAATCCTGTTATAAATTGGCAAAAAAAAAATGTGTGATTAATGTGTGATTACAAAAAAAAAAAAAGAAAAGAAACTGGCGTATTAATATATTTATTAAATAGTTGTGAATATACACAAACAATAACACATTGAAGGTCAACTCAAAGGCATAGCTGGCGACTTATTGGCGCTCAATGCACTATGAAACAGACCTGGTCATTTTTAATACTTTTCTCTTAATATCCAAAGTTAATTCCACTTTCTTCGTTTATTCTATTCATTTAAAGTACTGCGTTAAAATACGTGTACGATATCCGTGCCCGTGTTTTTTAAACATTTATTCATCAGCATCTCTCGCTAATATAAGACTTCTATTTCATTCTTTACAAGCAATAATGATATTTTTATATAAATTATAAAAAAGGTTGTTAACCACAAACACCGCCTTTGACAAAAATAACGTATCCACAAAGTAAAAAAATAGAAAGATTTGGAAGTCAACGAAATGCTATACAGCCAACTGATACCTTTAATCAACTAAATGATTTCAAAAGTTTTCTTGTGCAGGGGCGGATCCAGGATTATTTAAAGGGGCGGGTTCGCAGATGCCCCCCCCCCCCCCCGTCCTTCCCCCCTCACCGTCCCCCCTTCTAAATCCGCCACTGTTGTGGCATATCAGACAACCGTCTTTGAACTCACCATCCGCGACTTTTGTATCTCCAGTCTCCATGAAGTTGAATGTGCCCCCCAGATGTCCGCCACCCCAGTCCACTTCCGGGTAACACTGACATATGGGACTGGGGGCGATTGAATGCTGTTATCTGGAGACTGAAATTTCAATTTTCGTTATCAATAAAATAAATTAAGTGGAACATGGTCAAAACGAGCAGAAGTGCACTGTTCTTTCAGTGTCGATAGCAGGTCCTTACTGAAGTAATAGAATATTACACATTTATTTCGATTTTATAATTGAAACCAAATGGCGTGAAATTTTTGTGACCCTTTGCGTTGGAAGAGAGAGAGAGAGAGAGCAGTATACTTCGTAATATCATAATCGAACTTCCCAATTCCGACGTCTGCCGTCCCATGCTGGTCATCGATATGGGCCCCGGTGATCTTGCGACCTAAATTGTCTACAAGTGACTTCTCAGCTGTAAAAAGATACAATGAATTTATTCTGAGATTTGAAATAATGATTTTTTTTTATCGACATGACTTTTGTCTGGTCGAAAGACGTCGTCATCTACATGTCTCGATCGCTCACAACGCACAAGTTACGTTTTTTTTCTTATTTCATTATTCTATATATTCAATTCATTTCACAAAGACTGCTCTCTTAACTGTGTCCTGTATCATTTTCTTCAATAAATAGAACCGATGCATAGAATTT